AAAAAAAAAAAAAAAAATTAGCGGAAGGTGGTGGCACGCGCCTTGGGGAGGCTGAGGCAGGAGAATCGCTTGAACCCGAGAGGCGGAGGTTGCGGTGAGCCGTGATCACGCCTCTGCACTCCAGCCTGGGCTACAGAGCGAGACTCCGTCTCAAAAACAAAACGAAACATAACAAAAACCAACCAACCAACCAAGCAAGAAATTAGTTACCAGAGAAACCGCATTAGCAATTGTATCAGGTGACTTAGCGTGCTACGTGCCAGGAGCTGTGCAGGGATGGAGTGGGAGCCGAGGAGACAGTAACGCAGATTAAATCAGCGTCCTGACAGGCGTTTTTGAAAAAGGAAAGCAGAGTGAGAGGGAGCTTGTACTGGCTGACCAGAGAGCAGAAATCAGTGAGAATACAATCTCCTCACTTAAATAGAAAAAATTATGTAGAGATGGAGTTGCTACGCTGCCTAGTCTGCCCTCGAGTTCCGCCGGGGCCTCCCAGAGCGCTGGGGTTGCAGGCGCGCACCCCGCCCTGCAAGAACCCAGTTTCACGCTTCCCCCGTGACGATCAGGAGAGCCTGGCCGGCGAGGAGCGGGCGGCGGCAGCGCCCGGGAGGGCTCCCCGAGGCCGCGGCCGCGGCCGCCTCCGCCCCCGCCCGGGCGCATCCGGTCCCCAGGCTCCGTGGGACCCACGCCCAGGATCCGGGCTGTGGCCTAGAACCCGCCCCGCGCCGCGCCCCGCACCTAAAGTTGGACCAGGCGAAGTTCAGGGCGAGCTGGAAGTTGGGGTCCGTCTCGTCCTGAAGGCCGGCGACACTCCGGATGAGCTCCCGCACGTCGCGCTCCTGCTGCGCGTCCAGCCGGCTCCAAGGCTGTCCGTGCCGCGCCATGCTCCGCCATGTTCCGCGCTCCTGCAGCGCGCGTCCAGCGAATTGGCGGCTGTTCGCGCGAGAGTTCGGGCTCCCGCGACAGTCGCTTTCTGAGCTGGCGGTTTTCTCGCGATAGCTCCAGCTCTCGTGCCGGGCAGCTGTTCTCACGAGTTCGAGCTCCGGCTGTGGCGGCTACGGCCTGGCGCTGTTCCTCGGCGGGCGCCGGAGAGTGCATTTTCTGGTCGCGCGACGATACGTTTTCCATGGTACTCAGAGTTAGCCGGCGTCATCGTGAATCAGATATGTAAGGCTCTGTGGCCAGCCTCGGTGACGGTCGGTGATCCTGAGAGCAGCCCGTTAGGTGCCCCTTCGGCATATGCACTGGGACCCGCCTTTCCAGGAGCCGTGGCCCGCTCAGCTGCTGAACCCTCCAGTGATCTCTGCGGATCTCGGTGCCCCCATCCACACGACACAACCAGCATCGGCGTAGCAGCTGTCCCCACCCGCTAGCAACCCCAGCTCGCTCTTGCTCCGCCTGCTCCGCAGGGGCGGCTAGGGGGACTTCATAACCCATCCGTCCAGAGGTGTGGGGAGGACATCGTAACCCCATCCGTCCAGAGGTG